TTTATGAATAAAACAGTCATTCACTGCTTTCAGAATTAGTAGAATGAAATTTTGTTTCTTTCTCTTCCGATTGCGAGTTTGATATGCAATATAAAGTAAGTTCATTTTCTAGCAATTTTGACTGGCATTTATTGAAGGCTTGCATCCAATTAACCTCTATTTTTAAACCCAGCAAATTGAACATTGTATCAAATTACACCCTATAACGTAAACAGCGAAAAGCGGTTCGTGGACCAGAAGAACTGCTGCGCAGTTAAACGCTTTCGCTCTCCTTGACAGATGGTTCTTACTAGAGCAAAATCTTTATCTAATGTTATTTATGGAATTTACATGATGAAAATATCAGAAGGAAATGGACCGACCGTAAGTACTCGTAATTTCAATTATAGATAAAACATTAGGCGAATGATTGTTTAGGTGCAAGTATTTTACGAACTCGTCACTGGGAAGACTCTAATGGAAGATTCAGGCCAAACAAACTTTTCTATGGCGAAGTGAAACATTTTACGCAGAAACAGAGATTAACAAGCAGAACATGGCAATGTAAAAGTTTAGACTCGAAAGCAACCTTTCACGATAAAACATAACTTTAATTCTAGATAATGGGTAATTCAAGAGCATGAAAAACCTTAAAGTTAAAAGTCCTCTTTTGGGCATGATCTTTGAGCGTCGCAAATCATTGCATTTTCTAAAACTTGGTTGATGGTGAGAATGCATTCCATTCTTTCTGCATATTGTGAATGCATCACACTCTTGCTGCATGTTAATGCATTCCATTCTTTCTGCATATTGTGAATGCATTACATTCTTGCTGAATGTTGTGAATGCATCACATTTATGTTGCATGTTGTGAATGTGCCACATTTATGTTGCATGTTTTGAATGCACCTCCTATGTGACATGTTTTCATTTGTGCTTCCATTGTGGCATCTTCTGTCATTTCTAACACCTTCGTGACATCTTGTAATTCAGGCTCCCACTGCGACATTTTATATAATTTCTGTCTCTGTGGTTACATTTTTTTAATTATGATACTATTGGGATACCATTTGTATTGTCGTTGTGACGTTCATTTCTGCTTATAATGCGACATGTTATAATTTCTGATGATACTGTAGTATTCAATCATTGCTGCCCCTTTTGTTTAATAGTATATTTGTTCTTCTCCTGTAACATCTCACCATGTTTGATCGCATCGTAACATCTTGTCATTTACGCTCTCTTTGTGAAATTATTTTTCACAATAAATTCATTATTTAATATAAAATTTTCCCGAATTGACCGTCTATAGGTTGTTTCTGTGGCATGTTGTAAACATTTTTTACGGATGTTATATGTAGCAAAGGCTCTTTGTTTTTGTGGCGTATTGTAAATACTTTAATATCGATTGCATATTGTAGAAGTTCTTCATTTCTGAGGCATGATGAAAATGCATCCAATTTAGGATATATGTATGCTGTAGACCTCTTTTTCATATATGGCCTCTTCATTAATACTCCTGCTTCACGAATCGCTTAAACAAACGCTCATCTTTTTTATGCAAATTTTAAGGTTAATCATTTCTATTGAATTTATAATTTTTTCATTTAAGTAGCATATTTTAAACGTCTGTAACGCTTTTTGAATGGTCAATAATTACTTACAATTAATGCAGTGTACCAATTAATTTTCTTTTCGTCATCATTCTGCAAATTTTGACCACTGATGCTAATTGGTTCCAATGCTCATCATCCACCAAAATGGTGCACAAGCTTATTCTTTTCTTGAACTCTTTTCGAATGTCCACCGTAATCACTACATTTGCAAATGCTAGACATTGCCGGAAATATATAAATACACTACTTTCATCGGCCTGCTGGTAATAATTCTCTCTTGTACTGTACTTATTTCGTGATCTTTACTTCTTCTATTTATTTAACACGTTGACTACGATTGCTTCATCTTGTACTATTATTTCATTTTTTGTACTTTTTTTAAGCATAGTTGCCAGACGGTCATTTTTTCCGGACAAATTCCGTGATTTAGTTTTTCTCAATTGCGTTGGCCGGCTAAAATTTATGATAGGAGTCCTTCCTAATTAAATTTTAAATACTGCAAAAAGAAAATAAATGGAATTTTTATAGCGGAACCTATAAATAAACTAGTATACATTGAATTATCGGCCTTTTTTGGCCTTTTTTGTTTTTCGATTTGGCCGATTTTAGGCAACCTGAATTATGTATACCACTACCTCCTGGAGAAATATTTTTCGTGGTACACATATGTACCAATACGTAGTCAACGTGTTAAAATTCTTCATATCCACGCTGAGCGTCGTTATCACTTCACATCGCTACTACATTCTGTAAAAGTTTACTCCTACAAATCTGGTTTGCTCTGCAGGCTGCAAACTTTCCTCACATCTCCTGCATGTGGCCAATACTCCTCATTCGTCTGACGAGCCCCATGATCAAGATGAGTTTGGTTCGACCCCTGCAGGCTCTCCAATTCACTTCCTTTGTACGTCCACCATTTTCTGCAGCCCCTGCGAGAGAGATCGTTACGACGGCACAATAGCGCGTGGGGTGACAGCAGTGGTGCCCACACCGATCTTCTCTCCCCCGTCATCGCTGATGACTTCTGCACATCCAAGTTATTATTATTTAGGGATGTACGATCGTGTGAAAGACAAGGAGTGGAAGACATGAGCTAATTCAGACGTAATATGTAGGGTTCTAGGATCAATTTATTGGTTTACAAGTGTGAAACATAAGCTAATACTAACATAATATAAAGGATTTTAGGATAGTATGATAGCTTAGGAGTATGCAACACAAATTATCTCGCGCAAAATATATAAAGTTCTAGGATAGGGATGCTGACTTAGGATAGTGAAAAATACCTTAGTACGTACAAAATATATAAGGTCTTGTAGTCGGTATTATTGCCGGGGCTTATGAGACGTTATGTATATTACTGTAGTTAATTTTATTATATTGTTAATAGTAACATAATATGTAACGTTTTGTATTATTATGTCTTTACACTATTTGAAAAATTGATTGAAAATGTATGCAATGTTGCGTAGTTTGTGTGTAATACGACCGTAATAACTATGCTCGTTCCTAAATATTCATTGTCATAATTTGGGTGTGGACATCATCCTGCACGACTCACGCTCATCATTGTACGCCAATATATGTGTTTTTATGTACGCCAATATTTTTATGTACGCCAATATGTACGCTCATCATATGTACGCCAGGGCGGCGCACAATAATGTTCTTAATGATAGCATTCATCATCCTTATTCTCTCGCGTCCCCCAACGATGATTAGGAAGCGACATCAGATCCAAACGGTTACAAGTCAGTTATATTTACGTATAATATTGTAAATACATATGAAAAAGAACTAGCTCGATTTAAATATAATAGCTGCTTCTTGAAAATGTTGTGTTTGAAATTGAAGGTTTCAAATTGTCTTTATATCGCCGTTCTACGTGTATGTGAGGGCTAAGAAACATGAATGTGTAGCAACGAAACATACATTCTATTCTATTTAGAGATGTTATATTGATTGTGTAACATATGTTGTTAATAATAATTCAAAACCATGGATGTTCATATCAAATGAAAGATAAGCTAAGTTTACGTGAGACTTATTGATGCCAAGGCTTAAGGCCGAGCGATGTACGATCTACAGTAACCGATGCCAAAGCAGCAATGATTTAAAATGAAATGTTTGAATTGGTGTCAGCAAACAACAATGAGGCGAAAAAATTAGGATGAAACATTAATTAAAAATTAAAATAAAACTAATCTCGTTCCGTGAAGATATTTTCATGGAATCCCCTCGATCTCCTACATTATTTTTTTTTAAATTGAAGTCATAATCCGTATTTTTCTCAGTTTTGATCATTATTTATAGTTTTTATTGTTCAGTTTTCGTTGTTCTTTTCAATATGTCCTAAAATGTTATTTTTCGAATTAATAAAAATGTAAATTAAGTATTTTAAATATGTATAAATGGCATTAATCAATTTTGAAGTTGTTGATAGGGTTCATAATTTGTTTTGAAATGCAGAATAAAAACTTGCCAATTGTTTCCTAAAGTCATTCGGAATGTGAAAAATGAAAAAAAAAATTATTGGGAAATAACAACTACGATTGGGACATAACAACATTATTGGAAATAACAACAAAATTATTGGGAATTTACAACTACGATTATAATGAAGAGAAATTAATTCAACAAAAATTTTTCATATTTTTTTTCATCATGTTCTATTTTAAATGTTACTTTGAGCGTTAACGTCGCCTGCTGGACGTTTGTCAGAAACTTTTTTAAAAGAAGTTTCATGCATTTGTCAATTGGCAATAAACAAATGAGTAGAGGGCAATTTGAAATTAATTGGCTCCGTTAAATGAACATAAAATCTTCATTATTTTGTAGGACAGCTGGAAGCATTAATTTTTCGCATCATACAAAGCTATCTCAGAGATAGTTGAATGCTGGCATCAAACTCCGTTGATTTATCCAGACTGCAATATCTCTAATTCATTGCAATGAAAGCTGGTAAAATGCGTTAGCTTGTAAGAATGTAATTAATTACAAATGCAGGAGGCTGGCACTTGCAATAATGAACAGCTATAATACATTCAATGCTTCGAAAACAATGGACTGTTTTGGTGCACTAATATGACTCGATTGCTTTAGCTTCCAGTCATCGACCTTATATTATACGACTATTATGATTCAACATAGTTGTAAATAACATAGTAAGATAATGAATGAGTTCTTACACATAAATATTAAGGCCTGAAAGTCATGTGGGAGGTGCGCAATATTGCATCGACGTCGCAGATGATCTTTGGAGAAGGGAACACAGAGACTGAATCCCTGAAGGTTTTCGATTACTGTTGGTCTTTCTTTCCTGTGTTCATTGCCAATCTGCCATAATGGTGATCCCCTAATGGACCCCTTGGGGCGCTGAATGGATGCCGGGCTCCAAACCTGCCATTAGGCAATTGCTTCAACACTTGAAACGCAATATCGAGGGCTCCCAATTTTGCTCGAGTGAAAGAAGCAAAGCAATTCAGCACTCGACTCCGACCCCAGCGCATTTGCATATTGCGATGAAAAACTGGCGGCTTCAGAGCTTTCCCCTGCAGCGACATCGTCGTGTGGTGACTGAGACTTGTGGGGAGGAGGGGGTGTTGGGGGCATGGGCTGGGGAGATAACGATGGCGGGGCTCCAATGAAGGGCGAGAGGAAACGAGGAGCGTGCAACGCCGGGAGGACAAAGGGCGCGGCGCCGGGGGCATGGGCTGGGGAGATAACGATGGTGGGAGGAGGGGGTGTTGGGGGCATGGGCTGGGGAGATAACGATGGTGGCGCTCCAATGAAGGGCGAGAGGAAACGAGGAGCGTGCAACGCCGGGAGGACAAAGGGCGCGGCGCCTGGGGAAAGGGGAGAACGAGGAAGGGGAGTCTTTGGAAAGGGGAGTCTCTGAAAGGGTGGTAGGAAATGTGAGATTTATTCACTATTGGGAAGAAAGAGGAGGGAGTCGGGAGCGCGCACCGATAGGGTTAGATGCCCCCAACTTAAATCCCCTAGTGCAGAGATGTAGGTTTTAACGCCCTGCCCACGCTTTCATCTTCGTTGAAAACTATATATAGGCGCTTCATAGCGAGATAATAGATGGCCGACGAACGGCTGTCAGTTGAGGAGATCTAATTCTTCAACGAAGAAACATTGTTGAATGAGATCTTGTTCTTTGAGTTGTGCTAATTGCTTGCGAGAGAAGTTGTGATGCTGTTGAGGGTCGCGTCAATTAGCGGAGATGAGTCGACACAAATGCGCCGCTCCGCCACATATCGCCGCGCTCACGCCGAGTTTGCTCACAAATACAGCGCGTGTTGCGGCCGCAACGTTGCGCAGCTTGTCTGTGTGATATGTATAATTGCTGCAAAATCACCTAGCCTGTCTGTGTGACTGTCGTAACGTCACCTACCCTGTCTGTGTGATCTGTGTGATGGACGCAACGTCATCAACATCGCCCTCTGTACGACACACGTCACGACCGCAACTTCACCAAGCACGCCAGTGTGAGTGTCATACATTATTTATGTCATTTTATTTTTAGAGAACCTAAAGTAATGCACCGCGGTTACGGCCACAATGAAACCAAGATTAATAATGTCAAGGACCATTAGTTGCTAATGAATTCTCGATCAGCGAGCATTCATTATTTTTTTGTCAATATACCTTTCTATTTCCACGACTTGTAGCGTGGTGTGGAGTAGTATACATACGTTTTTATGTTTCCAAATGCATTAATATAGGATGAAGCACGGTTAACAAATTAATATAGGATGAAGCACGGTTAACAAATTAATATAGGATGAAGCACGGTTAACAAATGATTTCAGTAAATTAATCCAAATAAATAATTTTCCTGCAACAGCCGTAGGAAAAATGTCTGTTTATTTAGAGACATATTATATTGTGCCTTGATATTACGGTTACAGGCACAGTGAAAAATACACGGAAGTTTGGATAACTCTGGTTCGGAGTTACCGCGTCACTGAGCTCAGCAAGTCGACCCGTCAATTAAGAAGTCATTGTAAGTGAACTAGCGCGCATGACTTGACAGGAAGCTGTCTCGAGATATACAGCTCTAACAGCCTGACATCTAGGAAGCTGTCTCGAGATATACAGCTCTAACAGCGCTCACAATACAAAGCGCTTCCTTCATTTGTGAGCAGCGATCTGTAGCGATGTCGTGCGACGCCTACGATGAAGACATCAAACGCGGTATTAAATGCCTAAGCTCTTCCGACCGAGCGGATCGAGTCACCATCTGTTAGCGACTCAACTTTATTAATGAAATGACATCAGATGGCGTTACATTGACTAAGTAATATCGGTAGAATATTTTTCTCTTACCTACGAAAGCGAAATGAAAAATTTTCCTTGTTTGGTAAAATTTAGAACGAATATTTATATGAAATATTCTTCATGCAGACACTCCATCAACTGCTGCGACAATTGTAGATGTTATGGATCAAGAAAAATATATCAACATTAAATGACAAACGTGGTTATTATATTTTTCACCTCTCAAAGATAATTCTCAATCCAACTAGTGTTAATTTTTTACAAATATCGCGTTCCTGTAGAAAATAACTTTACCAGGGCAGTTATTGATAATGATGATACATGGGAATTTTATTTTCAATTTCTTAATTCTGTAACATTGAGCAATTTTTGGGATAGTTACATTTATTAATTAAAGGCGATTTTTACTTAGATAAGAGAACATTAATTATCATTCAAAAAGAAATTTCTCCTATTTAGAGTCGAAATGCGATTTCGGTGCAGAATGTCTGCTCCAACGAATTTCAAATTAATTATGTTGATTTGTTTGTAAAATTATTAATTTTATTATTTATAGATAATATTATTAATATTAAACGTATTATTCACTTACTTGGCCTAATAGAGATTGATGACATGAGTCAGCATCTGGAAGACACGTGATAGATCACGTGATCAAGACCTTAGTTGTGGGCGGAAGCGAAAGCTATATAAGGGCTAGGAACCTAAGTAAAGGCCCCCGCAGTAGTTGATAATTAAGCGCTCCGCGATGTAACGCGTCGGTTGAGTTCTCCGACCTTACGGTCGACGCCGTATATAGCTTATACCTCTGTATCTTAATGTATAACAACCCCGTATATAAGATATGTTATCTAGAGACATGTGTCTTACTATCCTTCACGGCCTTAGTCACTTACCTCGATCCTCATGTAGAGCTTAATATACGAGCTCTGGCAGTTACGACAGGATTTGGATTAGCGATATTCTCAAATAACAAGGATTTTATCTATATTATATACCTAGCAACGGCGGGCTAAGTTCTCAGTTGGAAATAAGACCGTAAAAAATTTCCGAATATTTTACACGGAGTTAGCTGTTGTGTTGAATAATAATGAGTACCCTGAGGCACGAGGTGCTCTGAGTCCAGAGGATGCTCAGAACCTCTAGATGCACGATTCAATATAGACACGTGAAGCCAGACCTTTTGTCTAGCCTGAGGACGTCAGTGCCACAAGCTGGCCATTATGTGGTGTCATGTTGTGCTTCAGACGCGAGGTATAATGGCTGCTCTGATTGCACCATTGTTTTAGCCAGACGATGACCATTAGGAAATGATGTTCATTAGACACCCCATACTAGCAACCCTCATCGCTCCATTGTTTAGCGTGATAATGGCGAGTGGCCTTCAAGTGCATCTTAAATATTCTTGCTGGTATAAAACTAATTGACTACAGACGTCGTGATTGAATCGTGACGTACGTTGAAAGCAAAAGGCTCTTAACGACATCTTTGTTACCTCGAACTTCGATTGAACCAAAATTATATAAAAATTAATAATAAACAGGCAAATTAGACCTTAAAATTTCGTTTTCAATTTAAAAATTACTCTATTCCTGGGAGAAATAACTTTCACTTGGCCGTAAAGAAAGTTTCTTTATATAGAAAGAAGAATAAGAAGGAATGCTCGTTAACTTGAGTGGGGATGCACAATCAAAGTCGAGGTTTCAATTTTTGAAAGTTATGACATAAGACACAAGATTTGTTTTGTTCGTCTTTATGGCAACTAAATTTATTTTCCATGCTAGGTAATTAGAAATGTCACCTAGCTATTGATTCGTCAATCAGGTAAATGATACATCCATAATCATCAAGGTAATTTATGCAAATCAGTGATGCCAACCTGATGTTAACGAAAAAGCTCATATAACATTATTTGAATTCATCATCGAAAGAAATATTTGCCCAATGTTTTCCTTTTAATTTGAGAGTATTATTTAGAAGAATCTTCAAGTATTTAGACATTGAATTTTAGGATCAAAAGGAGTAAACATTTATTGCTCGAAAATATTACCCATCACGACGAAAAGTCCCTATAAGAGAAGTGATTCTTAACTCATGCCCTGAATGAACGTTGATGCAAACAATTCTTAAGAATTTCGATCTGCCACGTAGCCAGAAGATGGCTATCATCAAGCATTGAGGTGTCCAATTCTTTCTCATGGATCAATAGGTTTAATTAGAGTCGCATTGGGCCGGATGATCTGCCGTAATTGGAATGAACAAACAGAAGCGCGGTCATTAAATGAGTTTCTGGACGCCTAACAAAGACGTCACGCGCTGGCCCTTCTCGTAATACCTTCCCTCTATGGCATATTGATTTGTCTACATTATTATGCGCTTCACTAATCCTAATTGACGAAAACTCACAGTTTAGAGAATCATTAGCAAGGGTGATTAAGGTGGAGGTTTTTATGGGTGCGTCGGATTATCGTTTCGACGAGTCACTGCATTTAGCTGCTGATGATGCAACCGCTCATCGAGTGACCATGCAGGTGATGCTTTAGCTACAGCGATATCATCCACATAGGGTATCAATATTTCGATAACTAGATGCAGTGGCATGGTATATGTTCTATTTTACATGATGATAGCAGTATCATTATAGAAACATTATTTTCCCAATATTATCTTAATATCGAATCTTATCTTATAATCTAATTTCTATTACTTATTATCTCTAACAGCCAAAAAGGGGTTTTCCTCCATTACGACAGACCAAACCTGGCTTATAGGTCAGAACGACGCGACTTCTCCACAATTGCAGAAGTTATCCCTAAAATAAAGCGATATTTAACACCGCATTGGCGATGATTGCATGCAACTGAGCACAAAGAACTACCGGTAACCATGCGAGTACGGACAGCTTTATTCTTCGTGTCATGCTGGTGGTAATTGCAGACGCGTTATAAGTAGGACAATATTCACGCGAGGTCCACTATACAAGTGTATACTATTATGTGTACTATATCATACAAGTGTACTATATAAGTTTACTAGCAGATTATATGTGTGTATGGCTTGTATCATTGTAATTAAATGAATCATACATAGTACATAGTATGCGTTGTAATATTATTACATTCGTGATTGGTAATTGATGACATAATCTTCATAATTTTTTTCCAATTATCGACTTTAATTGACCTTCTTTACACTACTTATTTTCCTTGACATCCCTCGCACGAATTAAGTTAAAATGACCTGCTTTGCCACGTGTATTCCGCATGAATTTATTTCTCAAATGCGTGCATATAACATGATTTACTTTACGCGGCATGTCCACATGATACACTTACTGCCATACATCGTTCACTTTACGTAGCATGTCCACATGATTTAACATCCTGATTTAATTTTCCCTCACTTCATCATGCGCTATTTTTTCCTTGTTAGAATTTATTTATAAGCTGTATTTTAATCTGCTCCCTACATTCAACATATTTCACTCGACTTGCTACAATTTATTTTACTTCTACATTTTACGTAAATTGATGCATAATGCTGGACTTACCACATTCACCACATTCACCAGACTTGCCACATTCCCCACATTTACCAGACTGGCCACATTCTCCACATTCACCAGACTTACCACATTCTCCACATTCACCAGACTTGCCACATTCCCCACATTCACCAGACTTGCCACATTCTCCACATTCACCAGACTTGCCACATTCTCCACATTCTCCACATTCTCCACATTCAACAGACTTGCCACATCTTCCACATTCACAAGACTTGCCACATTCTCCACATTCACAAGACTTGCCACATTCTCCACATTTACCAGACTTGCCACATTCTCCACATTTACCAGACTTGCCACATTCACCACATTTACCAGATTTGCCACATTCTCCACATTTACCAGACTTGTCACGTTCTCCACATTCACCAGACTTGTTACATCCTCCACATTCACCAGACTTGCCACATTCTCCACATTCACCAGACTTGCCACATTTTACACCCAGGATCGCTCGTATGAATGGAGCAGCTAGAGTCCTAGTGTGCGTGCGGCTGAGCCAGCGACAGGCGGTGTCCATTTACGGCCGTCGCGTCATTCAGGCGTCGCCGGCAGCTCAATGCCCCAATTATGTGCGTCGTGGTCGTGGGAGCTGACGCCAGCCTCGTCACCACGACGTGGTCGTGTCGTGGGAGCTGACGCCAGCCTCGTCACCACGATGTGGTCGTGTCGTGGGAGCTGACGCCAGCATCGTCACCACGACGTGGTCGTGTCGTGGGAGCTGACGCCAGCATCGTCACCACGACGTGGTCGTGTCGTGGGAGCTGACGCCAGCATCGTCACCACGACGTGGTCGTGTCGTGGGAGCTGACGCCAGCATCGTCACCACGACGTGGTCGTGTCGTGGAGCTGACGCCAGCATCGTAACCACGACGTGTTCGTGTCATGGGAGCTGACGCCAGCATCGTCACCACGACGTGGTCGTGTCGTGGGAGCTGACGCCAGCCTCGTCACCACGACGTGGTCGTGTCGTGGAGCTGACGCCAGCATCGTAACCACGACGTGTTCGTGTCATGGGAGCTGACGCCAGCATCGTCACTACGACGTGGTCGTGTCGTGGCAGCTGACGCCAGCCTCGTCACCACGACGTGGTCGTGTCGTGGCAGCTGACGCCAGCCTCGTCACCACGACGTGGTCGCGATGTTTCAAAATTTATGTTGATGCGCATCATCGCCTAACATTCGAGATTTGCTAAATTCATTTTTATTACGTTTTCACTGAATTTTCAATGAATAACCCAGTTGTAAAATAACCAGTGCAGGCTCGCCGTCATCTATCCTTCACTAGTAGGAGGGTCGAGTCAACCAATATTTCTCGCTGTGAATAATGAAGAGAATGCATGCAGTTTATATCGAGATGATTCTGATAGAGATGATACCGATAAAGATGATACTAATAAAGTATTATATATCAGTATCATATTGAGATGATACTGATAAAGGAAGCTTCAATGAAGGGAATTGTCGTCAATATCAAGTGTCATAAAATTTATTCGTGGCTAATTTTGTATTTGTATAAAACCGGTGTCAATTTTTTTGATGTCATTACACATGAACTGCGATGTAAACACTCTGGTAAACGAAGCGTTGACAGTAAACTTTAAAATGAGAGCATATGACAGTATAAGGTGTAAAAATAGCAGTAAAGTGTACATAACACGCGTTTAAAATAACATGTAGTACGAGATCCGTTTAAACTTTAAAGTAATGTGCCTAACGCAAGCGTAGACTGTAATTTGCCAAAGAGCTGTTGAATTGTTCACTAATATGCAGTAAAAAATTGAAGATATAAAATAAATGACAACGACGTTTTTAAAAGATTAAGACATTTCATTAAGCGGAGAATTACTTGTAACATTTGGACAAAGTCATTGACATGAATCTCAGCCTAGCACCTTACGAGCCTTGCAACAAGTTCAGCAGCTATGTCAATCAATCGTCAGTTATGGAAAGATCGGGTTCCAAAGGCTGGATCCCTTGTGAATCAAGTCACAAAAAGTACAAGAATCGGCAACAGGCCATGGGCCTATTTCTTCAGTGCCGACACTTCTATTATATTCTATGAACAAGAATCGGCAACAGGCCATGGGCCTATTTCTTCAGTGCCGACACTTCTATTTTATTATATTCTAGTAAATTATTGACGTGGCAAACTTAGATGTGTACTTAACTTGACGGTCGCTAGGGGTCGCTGCAGACGCTTCGTCCTCAACAATGGGAAGCCGGGCGAGTGCGCGCAAGATGGCAGCTGATGTGCTGCTGATCGTCCCCGCGACTGACGTCTGCCAGCGACTCCCTCGCGCAATCCTTTTAGCAACGTCAGCGCAAAGTGACGCTGAGGGGAGACGCGACACATTTACATCTCGCCGTTTACCCAAAAAGGATAAATAATTCGATGAACTATTTAATTGATGATGATGGAGGGCTGATATTTTAGGTCATAATATAGCAACAAAAATTGAGGTGCACGAGTTTTGCCACCACATATATATTAAATTCCTAGTTACATGTAATATTTGTTATATTCTTTGTGCGTTGTCACAGGCTGTTCCTCGTAAGGGTTTCTTTCACTAAACGCTCACATTTATTAACGGTTCAATGTTGTCTGTATGAAAATTAAACATTGGAAATGTTATAAAAGTTAGATCGAGACAAGCAGAACAGTTTTAATGAAGTTATTTAAATAGCTGTGATGTGCAAACTCCTACTAGAATTGCAGGGCTTCTGAAATTTGATAGTCTCGCAAATAATGGAAAACATGAGTTCTCATCAGTTGTTAGATGTAATAAATTTTTTCTAAAAGTTTCGAAAGCGAACGCAGTTTTCGATTCAGACCGTATTCAAGAAGGATCACAATAATAATGCATTTCTAGTAGCTTTTCCCATTGTATCTCAATTCAGGCAGACGTGAATACTTTCGCATATTCACTCCCGTACTCAACGCTAGAATTTTTACTTATTAGCAGAATGAATTAAGTGTAAATAGATCTCAGACCATGAGGGGCTTTAGACTAGTGGCTAAATTAATCATCGACCGATCAAATGACAATTTAGAAAAATTCGGCATTGAAAAGTCTCATTTAGAACAGAAAAAATCTATTGATAACTGTCATTGAAATCAAAAAAATTCTATAAGTCGGAAAGGATGCGACATGTATGGTACATGTCGAATCCTTTATTCTGACTTTGTTCTGACAGATGAACCCTTACGGACAGATATACCCAACAACGGTATTGTGGATACTCGTGCATTAGCGTTTAGCAAATATTAGTGTCGCGTCCAGTACGCGTGCGACATATACTTTTAGTTCGTAGCCTTACGGCGCGGCACGGAACTGTATTCGGGGTCGCAGCCTCCTGCCATTCATTACAGTTTAGATGTTCCTAGGAGTTAAGCTTCCGCTGAATTAATCTATAGGTCAATTTGTTATAATTGTCATATTGTCTTGTTCATGTTATAGTAGTTAATGTATAGTTCTCCAGTGTGAAGTATAATCGTTTTCTTTCTTTTGACAGAGTAAAGTAAGCTTAATTTCCGTTCACAATTTAGAATTTAAAAACTAGGGCACAAGCCATCCACGGAAGTTACTAGTGATTGTATCTGTTGTCACGTTCATATTTATTTTAGCCAGGAGTTGTGCGATACTGATATATTGGTTCTTTAATTACTTGGTATACTTGGTATAAATCTTCAGTTTTGTATTTTTATTTGTTCTGATGTGCGGTATTTGTCCCGCAGTTTTACAAGAAGAATAAGGAAACACGGAATTACTATACTACTTTCCTTATCATTGTTCCTGCCTGGCTCGATGAGGTGGCCGTTTGTAATTTAGCCAGGACAATTAGTCAAACAATTGAGTCTGAAACTTGATCAATTACATAACATTTTCATAAGTGGATCGTCTTGTAAAACGTTTTCATTCTTTGTTAATGTTTTCCGGATTTCCTGATCGAATTTTCAAAGGAAGTTGTCAGATGAAAGTCGTGGTCCTTTTCTCTAAAAATGTTTGATTGTGAAGAAATTTTGTCGACAAAATCTTTCAAGTTTACTGATTTGGATTTGTTGAAGCTCAATTTTTCTTCATTCAACTCAACCGAAATAATGTTTGGTTGTGTAGCCGATGTGATGTTTGGTTGTGTGGCCTATTTGATGTTTGGTTGTGTAGCCGATGTGATGTTTGGTTGTGTAAGCGATGTGATGTTTGGTTGTTTAGCCGATGTGATGTTTGGTTGTATAGCCGATGTGATGTTTGGTTGTGTAAGCGATGTGATGTTTGGTTGTTTAGCCGAGATGTGATGTTTGGTTGTATAGCCGATGTGATGTTCGGTTGTATAGCCGATGTGATGTTTGGTTGTGTAAGCGATGTGATGTTTGGTTGTTTAGCTTACACTGCAGAAGGTCATATGAATTTTTTACAATGTACCGTCAAAACATCGCAATTGAGAGCTATAGCAGCAAGCGGCGGTAACCGTTGATGAATACTCATGATTTTGCCACTGCTAAATTGAACTTTAAACGCACGAAAGATATAATACTTGACGATTTGTGGTTTTCATGAGAACTTTACGTAAAGGCACACAATAATGTGTAATTTCCTGAAACTATATCGTCGTTTGACAGTCTAAATTAGTTTAATTCATTTATGTTGCATTATCAGTGACTTTTTCAATGACTGAAGATTGATTGCTTCACAATCAGTATTGTGCAGCACTGGAAGCGTCGCGTATACTTGCATAAGGCAAAGGTGGATGAATGAGAATGCAGCCCGAAATTTATTAGAATCAAACTAAAAAGCATTGAATGCTACTAAAATATTTTCAAGTAATATATATGCAAGCGTCAAAAGAAAAAGTTGGTTTACAGGGCGCGGCTTGCGTTGGGGAGCGCAGCCTGACCTCAGGCTTGGCTGTTGGAGTTCATTTCCAAATGTGGGCTTTCAGGCCCGCAAAGGAAGATTGATGAGGCGGCTGGCGCGTGCCGCCATCTCTGCATTCCTATCCCATAGCATAATACTAGATATTTTCTTCAATATTCCCTAATATTGTCGAAGTGATGCTTATATAACTGTGAATTTGAGTCGCTAATATCAATACTACTAATATTTTAGTAGTGATGCTGATATGACAGTGTACCACTCTCATCATGTACCAACATGTCCATGTCGGGTTCGATAATAACATTAAATTTTTGTCACTAGCCTTATCGACATTTTCTAAATTTGACGTCATAAACTTGGCAGAACTCCACATATTTTACGATTTTATTCTTTATATTTCATAATCCACTAAGAGTGTGCTTATATATAGAGCACCGAACCCCATTAAATTGATGAGATTTTATTGTCCGTCGTACCCACTCTGCTGTGGCTGACAATTCATGAATTTTGAGTTTGTTTGAGTTATGATTTGTAAAAACACCCTTTTCCAAATTTTTAAAATATTGTTGTCATTATTCAACAGGAAAGCTGACTTGCTGTAAGAAAAGTTCGGCAAGAAACGTCGTTGGCATGCCCGGCATATGAACCTTCCAAAATTCAGGGTAATATACGAGCAGTGCTTGTGTTTAAAAATTCCTTTAAAATTATTGATAGCAAAATTAATGGAGAAGCGATTAATAGAAAAGTACAACCACATCGTCTAATATGCAAATCGCACTTAATCAGCTGTAATAAAGAAATAATGTGTGAATATTAATTTTTGTACACAAGGATATAAATAATAATTGAAGATGTAATATTGAACTCAAGCATACTTGGTACATTTTCAACGCCAACCGTTAGATTAATAGCCCAAAAAGTCAGCTCTGTGTGTCTCACAGTGTATCACAAGCCCACAAAGTCAGCCCAGAACATCTCACGAAACA